AAATTCCAGCATTATGACTAAACATAAGCAAGTCAGCCATTCTGGCAGGAAACAATGAGCGTTCTTTTCACGCACCACTCCCCAATCCCTCTGTCCACCGAACCAGCTTTATATATATTACGCGCGCACTGACTAAAAATAACTGTTGCTTGGGTTAGACAGAGAATTGTGGGTAGGGGCGTAAAATACTCGTTTTACTTTAGCTGTTATTTTTCAAGCTCATCCCCTAGGCTTTTCCCTTAGAAGAAAAGAAGCCCGGGTGATGAGGTTGCATTGACTATATTTTGGGACATTTCCAGGAGGAATTTTTAACAATTATTCCTCGAGCCCAAATGGGCTTCATTTTCTACAAAGTAGTCTGTTTAACTGAATCACGCTCATTCGGTTATGGTTCTTGAGATCTCGCCCATTGCAGAAAATATTTGTAAATGTTGTCTACGACCCTACAGAAATATGAAGTCAAAAGCGGCACAAGGTTACATACTGGCGGTAACGGGCAGGTGAAGTGTGAATCGATTGAGTGATTTACACTTGCTAATCCTTACAATTGAGTCAACTGTGAGAAAGGAGTTTCCACTGGCAGTGAAGCGCTGATCTGCCATGTTTACACTCGCTCCAACAAGGATGTCTCTTCATGCCCCTCTCCTGGAACAAAATATAAACTCACGGGGAGGGGGCGGGGGGTGGGGTTAAACTGACCTGACTCATTTGAGAGTTAAAGAGGGTTGGTTTCTCTTCCATAAATAGCTCCATACTTGTTTCTTGTTCCTGAAGTTCTCGAGGATCGTCAAATCCAAACTACAAGATAAGCCCATAAAGACAAACCTATTTAATAGGAACCAATTGTATCCAAAATCTTTTAAAGGCTCTTCTTGGAAAATCGAGAAATCACAAAAAAAAAAGCGCGGCCGCGCAGTTGTTGCTTAATGTCATACGTGTTCGTTGGGGGATTCGGTACAAGTCGTGTAATATCAACACAAGGCCCTCAAAGTCAGAAAGTGCACACCGAGAAAAATCCTCACGTTTGGTGTTTATCTGGCCAATATGGCATGAGATGCAGCAAACAAAAAAGCGCAAAAAAAATTTACTAAAGCTACTTGCAAACAGACGCAATAACTCCCAACAATGTTGGGAGTTGTTGCGTCCGTTTTCACGCAGCTCAACGTTTGACCAGTTTCAAACTTTGCACAACAACTCCCAACAACATGCAACAGGGTGTGCAAACGGATGCAACATGTAACATCCAACAATGTCGCGTCCGTTTGCACGGGGCTTTAGAGATATATAGACGTCCGGACAATGTATCCGGCAATTTATATATATCTTACTAAATTTTTGCGAATTTGTATGGTTGTATCCAGATTAAAACCACATTTGAGGATTTTGTAAGGCTGGGTGTGTTCTTTGCGATTGTTGATAATCCCTTATATGTGCACTAGTACTTAGTCCCCTCCGTATGAAATCCGGCAATTAAAAAAAAGGGCCTTCCGATAATTACCAAGTCAACGACGCTTTGTTTTCGTTACATGCAGTACGAGCCTGAGAATGTTTTGTTTGTTAGCCTGGAGTTGCTTTTCAAGTACCACAAGGAACATGTGCTGTGTGCATTGGTGGCTAAACTTCTCTGAAATATTCCTCATCATATCCTGCCACTGCGGTGCTCATTTAAACACTTAGTCAATAGCCCTCTTTCGATATATTAAAATTCTAAGATGACTCCGAGGCTTTAGGGATTTAGGGTCAAAATTGCAAATTTTTCACGACCCCATATGCATTGTCTCGCAATTCCCAGAAGAGACTTGAGCACAAAGAAAATCAAACCAAAATAATATAGAAAAATAACCAGAAAGCCTCAGATTCATCAGCTAAGTCATGTTAGAATTTTAATATACCGAACGTGGGCTATTTACTTTTAGTAAAATCCAACTAGTGGTCTATTAGCAATGCTGCATTCTGATTGGTTGAGCTACTACCAGGCTATATGTTATAGCCCACTAGTATCGAAAAGCGTGGGATTTTTGGCGGCAAAAAAGGATTAAAGTCTAGCTTTCACTAGCTAAATTTTTTTTTCTTCTCCATATTTTTTAACAACTAGTTAGATTTTACTAAAACAATTATTCCTCTCGCCCTCATGGCCTCTGATTCGGCCGGACTCGAGGAATAATTGTTAATTAAGCGACCGCTGGACTAAGGACTGCGGTAGCATGACATTTACACACAATTATAGACAATTTTAAATTTAGCGACTACGTAGCCTAAATATCAGGTGTTTCAGGGGGAAAGGGGGAAGAGACTGAGAAGCAGAAAGCAACCTCGTTCCCATCTCCTCTCCCCTAACCCCTTAAGATAGGTCTGATACTCAAGCAAGCGACTACGGGGCTAGGAACCGCGGTAGCAGTAAGTTTAACCCGAGAGCTAGGTATTCTGAAGTTACTCCTCTTTGGTTTACCTGGACTAGATTAACATTTCCCTCGTTTTCGATTTCGTTGTCTTCGCCATTGATTTCCTCATCTCCTTCTTCTTCGTCGTCGGCATTCTCTTGGAGTTCTCTAACCACCATCCTTGCAAGATCAGCGGCAAATTGAGAAACTTCCAACTTTTCATCGGTGCGTTTCCAGTTCTTTACTAGATCAGTGTCTACTTCGAATTTCGAGGGGTCAACTTCGATTCCGTCAGTACTTTCTTCCTCAGGGTCAAATGGCAGCCCTAAGAAGGACTTCTTCAAACTTGTCTTACCCGCTCGATCTTGACCTATCAGCATGATTCGGGCTCGATACACCTTTACTTTTCCAGTCTTCAAAGCATTTTCATAGGCAATCTGTGCTCCTGGTCCTCGTGCTTTGATCTCGCTCGGAACTAAATATATAAAACAGTTGTAATATAGTTTTACGTCACAGATGTTTTGGATTGTAAATGGTTATGAAACCCGTCAGATTAAAGGGTCGAGCAAAACGCAATAAAAAGAAGAAAGGAAGATAACGCATTGAAAGAACCTTTATTGTTTTTAGATACATTTTGTTGTCATTCGTCTAGATTAAAAATCGTATTCATTTTTACCTCCATAAAAGTATCCATGAGCAAAGTGTTTTTTAAACAGTTTAACAGTTTATAGTTTTAGCATTTAAAAATGCTACAGTTAGACAGCTCCTACTAGCATTTGCACCACAGCGATTGTTTTCTCCGTTTTTTTTCCTATCCAGCTAACGTTGACCAAATTTGAAAGATCGCTTCAGATATCGGTACAATTGTCACCGATTGTGCAGATTACTATACATTGCACTCATTAATTCGTCTCTCATTGGCTACTTAAAAGCCTACAGCTAATGATTTCCGATAAAAATATCAATTCGTTCCTTTATATCTGGCGCAGGATATCCTAATACCTCATAGCCTGAAAGTTATCAGCCTCGGCCCGGCTCGGCTTTCGATAACACTTTCCTTGACCTTCATTATTCCGGATATCACAAAACCTCATCAAATAATTCGTTTAATATCGACAAAAAAAAGGATAGCCAGAAGGCGCCAAAGCTTAGCTGTTTTGGCAGCGATGGAAAAAATGGGGAAAAAAGCAGCAACTCAACAGACTTAAAGTTACGTATTGTCGTCGTACCGGGGTCATTTCTTCGATTCACGGTGCGGTAAGAGTAGACGCCAACTTTACATCGATCGAGGTAAGTATGTTTTTAAACGGAAAAGATTTTGAATGAACAATAAAAAAATTATTGGATTCGGCTTTCTTATGATCTCGGAGGGTGTTATCCACCTCGGCCTATGGGAAGGGGAATAACACCCTTGATCTGCATGCACATAAATTAGCAATTATTAAAGGAGCTGTGTCACGAAATCCAGCCAAATTAGGAAATTACAAAATGCCCGTTAAATTAAGAGAAATATAAAAATAACCAGCTAAAACATTAAAGGAAGGTTAAAATAACACAACAGAAACAACAGATGCCACGGATGGGCAAAACTGAAGAAAATTGAAACGGATTGAAATCAGGGTTTTTGAAAACTGTTCAGCCTAACAGTCTTTCAAAGTTGATCCCTGCTGCTTGCAACTTCAAAAATAACGCTCAGGAGACATATTTGTTTGTCTCGGATCTCTGATTTTGTCATTTACATGTAATTTCTTTGCTTACTTTAAGTTCCATAGCGATGGAGGGCGAGTAATTGGCAAAATTAAACAAAATGAACTGTACTGCCATGACACAGCCCCTTTAAGTATTGACTAAGGCTGAGTGTGATCTGAAGAACAGCTGTTGTTGATTTTTTATGTCCTTGATAAAAAGGGCAGTTCGGCTATTTCTTCAGTTCGCAAACGTGTAAATTTTCCCGCCATTTTCTCCAGCTCTACCCAAAAAGCTGAGCTGAGCTAACTTGCTTTTTTACCTTCTGCTGGATCGCTCTGACTTCATAATATAATTTTTGTGTGTGTATAAAACTAATTACTCTTGAAAACTCCCACCAACCTATATATTATAGGAACTATTAGATCAGTACATTTTTACGTATTACTAAACTAATTATTCTCTGAAATTTTGTATCTTTGGAACAAATTACTGCTTATATTTGTTTCTACCGTGTGTTTGCTCTACGCCCCACCCGTGGAAATCAGCTTGTGTTGTGTGTGGCCAGCGTAGCAGGGGCAGATCCAGGATTTTTTAGAGGGGTGCACTCGTCCCTTGTCCCTATTTTCAGCAACAAAAACAAAACCAGTTTTTTTTTTTTGTAGAATACCAGTTGTATTAGAAACCGCAGGTCATCTGAGGGGGTGCGCTCTGCACCTCCCCAGATCCGCCCCCCGCGTAGCGAAATAATGTGTTGATTGACTGAATGGATTGATTGATTGATTGAAAGACTGATTGATTGATTGATTTAGTGAGTGAGTGAGTAAGTGAGCCCTGACGTTTCCGTGGGGCTTCTCGGTTTGTGCCTTTGTTGGATTATTTTGGCAATGAGCCTACACTATTGACGCGCCTTTTTTTTCGGATATCGCAAGCGTTCTTCAGACGCGGTCAACGCTAGCTGGACGAATCGTTTACGGACGGAATTTTACCTGTTCTAGCACTGGTTTGTTTCATGATGTGTGAAAGCAATTTTTGACCATCTTTTGATAATTTTAGTTTCATCGTAGCTTGTAGTCTGTAAGAGTGTAAGAGATATTTTTTGGTCACTTTCAGCGGGTCCTCCTGATAAATGCTCTTTATTTATAAATCATTTTAAAATTAGTTTCTAAAAGGACTTAACAAAAACGTTACATTGAGTCATCCTTACCGTGCTCAACTGTGTGTGTCGAGTGGTACGACCAATCTAGAACAATATGTGCTTCTTCTTCCAATTGCTCATTTTTCATTGCCTTGGCAATTTTTAGCGCTTGTCTGCTGTATTCAACGCTTTCTTTAAATTTGGAAGTCAAGCGGTATAACCGGCCTAGAAGAATACATGCTTCTGCTTCCAGTTCACCATTTTGCGACTCCTTGGCCATTTCCAGTGACTTTTTGCTGTAAAATTCGCATTGTTCATAGTTTTTACTCGCATTATGCGACCAGGCCAAAACAAAGCATGCTTTTGCTTGCAGTTCCCGATTATTAACTTGCTGAGCAATCTTCAGTGCTTTTTTGCTGTATGCTATGCTTTCTCTTAATTCGTGAACCCTGTAATATGACCAAGCTAGAGCACAGTACGCTGCTGCTTGCAGTTCCCTATTTGTCACATCCTGGGCAATTCTCAGGGATTTTTTGCTGTGTGATTTGCTTTCTTTGTAGTCTTTAGTCGCATCATTCGACCAAGCTAAAGCATGACACGCTTTTGCCTGCAGCTCTTTATTATTCATCTCCTTGGCACTACTCAGTAAGCGGTTGCTGTATTTTTTGCTTTTTTCATAGTTTCCAAACATATAATACGACCAGCTCAGAACATGGTACGCTTTTGCTTGCAGATCCATATTTCCCACTTTCTTGGCAATATCCAGTAATTGATAGCCATATCTTTTCCTTTTTTATAGTCACCAACTTTATGACATGACCATGCTAGCACGTGACAAGCTTCTGCCTCCCGTTCCCCCATTTCTAATTTCCTTGGCAATGCTTTGTAATTGTTTACCATATTCTTGGCTATCTATATGTTCTTCAGTCTCGTAATACGACCAAGCTAGAAAATGACACGCTTTTGCTTGTAGTTCCTTATTTCCTACTTCCTTGGCGATACTCAAAGATTTTTTGCCGTATTCTCTGCTTGGTTCATAGAATGCAACCTCGTAAAACGACCAAGCAAGAACGCGGCAGGCTTTTGCCTCCAGTTCCTTATTTCCCGATTCCGTGGCAATTCTCGCTGATTGTTTGCCGTATTCTTGGCTTTGTTTATAGTCTCCAGCATTATAATAAGACCAGGCTAGGTTATAGTACAACAATGCTTCCTGCTTTTTATCTCCAACTTCCTTGGCAATATCTAATGATCGTTTTCCAAAGGCAATACTTTGTTCATACTCCTTGACTTCATAATAAGAGTCGCATAGAACCTCGCACGCCTTTGCTATTTCCACCTTATCTCCCATTTCTTTGGCAACACTGAGCCCTTCATTTGCATTATCTATGCATTCCTTAAATTTCCCTCGTGTTTTTAAGTCTTCAGCTTTCTTGATTTTTCTCATGGCACTCGTTACACCTTTCATACTCTTCTTTTTCCCTGCTCCTGATATCATCTCTAAAAAAAGGCTTTAAACTGTTAAAAAACGAATTATAATAACAGCTATATTCACGCACCCGTTTTCGACCACGTTTTCATCGAGAGGAACAGGGGCTGGTTGTTTATTACCCGTGAGGCTCGTGCCTGCCATTTTGAGATTTTGAGAAAGCTTAGAAGGTTTTCAAACCGACCCCCCAATTCTTCATAGCTTTTTAGAAATGACCCCCCATAAATTGTACATATTGTGAAAGTGACCCCCTCCCCGCCTGATTGCGGTGGAAACTATACAGCGAATATTCTTGCTACAAATCCTGCCGAAGCTCACCACATACTTTGTCTACAATCGGTCTTGACTATTTACCGCTGCTCAAGAGAAGATAGAGCTTTATCCTCTCTTCAGCTGTTACATTCAATTTCAATTCATGCTCATTACTGCATTGTACTACTTTGATGAAATGTATAAAATGGCTCCCCAGGTAACGCTCACTTATCTGAAAATGACCCCCCAGCAAAATGGCCGGCCCCACCTCATAGGTAATAAACTACCAGTCCCTTAGATAGACACAAGCTCTTGTTTAGTAGCGCTTGTGGAGGTGTACATCACAGCAGTCACAGCAATTATCGGGGCACTTAACGAAAAAATTCGTTTACTGAAAAAAATATATATGTTTCTTGCGTGTCGTTGTTGGCGAAAGACATTTTGCTTGTAACTTTCCTTGTATGAATTATCCCATGTACTTTAACTTTTGGAACTTGTTAATAAGTTTACCGGAAGGAAAACAGGAGAAATTTAAAAAAAAAAAAGAAACAGTTGATTTTGCCCAATAACCCTCTTCTTGAAACCTCTATAATCGTGGTCCCCCGGGAAAGAGGGTCAACTCTTGTTGAACGACCTTGAATGGAGCTGTAAGGTGGGGGGGGAGGGTGTCAAAAGACCGGGACTAAACGGGTGAAAGAAACCTCACAGACCCACCAAAAACCCAGGCCCATGGTTGTCTCGAAAACTCACACCCCCTAAAATACAAACGCTTGCTGTCGTCTTAAATACCTTTTTTTTAACCTAACTCTAATTTTTGGAAATGAAATAAAATGAAATTAATTGAATGTCAAATGCATTGCCGTAGTAGGCCACCGTAGAAATAAGCTAAGAAGTTTTCAGTTCAAACTCATCCACAATATTCTAATTCCAACCAACCAGTGCCTTTGGAAAATGTACGTTAAATCTTCTCCAAAATGTTAACAATGTGATGCTCCCCGTGAAACTATTAGCCATATATTTTACGAGTGCCCTGCCATCAATATTTTTTGGAAAAAGTTATAGATTGGTGGAATCGTAAACGTTCTGAAAACATAAATCCCAATCCAACGGAAGCTCTTTATGGATACAATCCAGAATCTAACAGCTTTCATACTTTTAACCATTATCCCTTAATTGCTAGATATTATGTTCACTTAGCCAGAAACAAGTTTGAGACTCCCGAACTGCAGGTTTTCATTGTTCTCCTGGAAAATCCAGTGCGAAAGAGAAATATCATCAAATAGAGAAATAGTGGACCACCCTGTGCATTTCTGATTAGTGTTGACTTATAGTCATTTAGCAAACGCGCGTTATTAGTATTTTTCTATTTGTTCTCCCACTTGTTGTTAATGCCGTGGATCATTCGTCCATTTAATTTTCAATTCAAAAACAAAATTTGAAAATAGATGTCAATTTTTGATTTTCCAATTGTTTTCTTCCTGCATACTGGATGAACATGTTTCATAACTCTTTTCACCGTTTTCCCCTGTAAACAAATATGAAAAAATAAACACGCAGCTCTTATTTTCTACAGTCAATATGAAAAAGATTATCGAACCATGGATATTTTAGCTATTCGCGGGAAAACCGTTTCCGCTGTCTTTTCTCAATTACAATGACGTGAATTTGGAAGAAAATTCAAAATTGAATGTTGCGATCAATTTTCAATTTTTGTTTTTCGGAATAAGAATTGATCAATCGATCGCATTGCAACTGACAAAAGTAACAAAAGGAGAGGACCCAAGTGCGGAAGTGCCCAGGAGGGGAGGGGTAAGGGCGTAGGGACTTAAGTGGGAAGGAAGGAGGAACGGACGGGCCTTTTACTTCTCCCTGCTACCCTCATTTACAGGGCTTATTTTGGCCTAGAAGGGTATGTGCCGCAAAACAGGTTGTGGATATCTGGCTATTCAATAAACCGGCTCCTGACAATTTGACTGTTTAGCGCCTTTAACATTGTGTCGCTTGGAAAGAGTATGAATTAAGGTTGGCGATGAGCGGTCTACATGTGCGGTACCAACAATTAAATTCCATGACGTTAGTTTAAATTGAAGGCCTCGGCGGTACAACCTTACCCAAACTTTCCTCCATGCCATCCCCCCCCCCCCCCCCACTCGAGATTTACCCTCAAGGGGAGTTCGTTTGAAGCGGATCAGGTAAACAAAATTAATACCACAGTTTTTTTGCAAGACTTAATTAATGGTTATACTGGCAGGTAAAAAAGATCAGCTCTCCTTTATTATCCTAATCATCATCTCTCCTATACTTCCTCCCTTCTCCCCCTACACTTGAAAGTTTGCTCAATACTAATACTAATAATAATAATAATAATAATAACGCGAATATTTATACAGGATAACCTATCAGTTCTAATAAAAAGAACTTTTATCAAAAGGGTCCTGTAATTATCTCATAAATAGCTAAAAAATAAAAAATAAAATCGAAAGAGGAAAATATAATAACACTACGAAATCTAAGATTCAAAAATCAAAATCTGTAAAAATTATTGACTTTTAAGACTGAAAAGAGTTGTAAATTATGGAATACTATTGAAAAAAATCTTTTAAATTACTCTTAAAGGGAACCTCCACTTCAACAAAAAGATAACTTTAAATCACAGGAAATAACTGTTACAGTCAAGTCAATCTAAAATATTTTTAAAGAAAGCGTTTGTATCCGAAAGAAATAACTTTTAGATTCGCCTATTTTTGTTTTCAAATTTTGCGGACGTCGCCATCTTGAATAATTGTGACGTGTAATGGTTGCCCTATTGTTATTAAACAAAAGCTCTTTGTGTCAGAAGAGTGGAGCAACCGTAACACGTCACAATTATTCAAGATGGCGGCGCCCGCGAAATTTGAAAGTGAAAATAAGCGATTTTAAAATTCACTTTTCCTGATATAAACACTTTTTTTAAGACAAATTTCGAACAAATTTGTTTATCAACATAATTTTATTCCATTTAAACTTATTCTGTAGTAAGAGTGGAGGTTCCCTTTAAAAAGAAACCTAGAATTTAAATTCCTCAAATGCCGCGGTAAAGTATTGTAAACTGGAGCTCCTTGAAAGGCAAAACTTCTCCGTCCAAATTCTAATTTGGCTTTGGGAAGTTTTAGTGAACACCATTGTTTCTAGTGTTAATGTTGTGTTCAATTTTTGTAAAATATCCTTTAAAAAGGGAACAGACGTTATCCTGAAGACAATCAAACACAAGCTGGCAGGACTGTCTCTTTATTAAACTCTCCACTGTCTGGACTTGATCATTTCCACCAATGACTTTCTGACTTCGACGTTCAATGCTTTCAATTCGACTCTTACGGGAACGTGACCAACAGAGACCCAAAGTTTCACTATACGTAATGCACGCTTTTACAAAGTGAACAGCTAGGCAATGAAGACTAATCTACAGTTAATAAAAAGTACAAAAAAGCAAGACAAATTCAAGCAAAAAGACCCAACCGAGCAACAACTTACTTCCTACCGGGTTCTAGCTTCTCATATCACAAGTGGTTTTCCGCGTGTATCCCATTTTTCAAGCAAAACCTTCTTACGGAACGCGAACTTAAGTCTTTCTTTCCAGGACGCTTCTTGTAGAAACAATACTGACTTGTGAGTGTGTTTTCCCCTGCGTAACAACAATATCCCTCACTAACCCGATAAAGATTTAAAGATTTAAAGGCTTGTTTATGGTGGAAAGTGCACTTAGCTTATCCAGCTAGTTTACAGACACTCAAGTCAAATACTTAGAAACAAAATTCAAATACAACATAACAGGATTAAAAACCCCAACTGGCAGGAGGCAATTAGTTGGCTATTTATAAGCGTTGCCGAGGATTTGAACTCGGGAAGACCGAGAGATCAAATGGAGCAAGTCCCCAGAGCGGGACTAGAACCCGGGACTGCCGCTTTGCGAGTCCGACGAGCTTACTACTCCTCGGCCACGCTGCCTCTCTCGATGTTTATGT